AATAAAGCAAATAGTGCTTCTGGTCGTCCGTCATAGAAATTGCCCTCGAATTTGGCATAAATTACCCGCCATGCCATCCATAAGTAACATGATTCGGATTTATTTCAAAATCACCGCGGATTTATTTCTTAAGGGGCGATACACTTATGTTACACAATCCTCTGGTAGCCCAATGGCCATGGCGTCGGCCTACCACGCAGGAGACCAGCGTTCGATCCCTGGTTCCTACACCTTTTTGCCACGCAGGTCTTCCACCCCCGCGCGCTAATAGGCCGGCCCAAAATTGGCTGGGGGTGGGCCTGTTTACTATTCTTTTTATTTCCTTATTTCTGTTTTTATTTTTCTTATTTAAATTAATTCAGGATTTTTTAAAGAATAAAATTCCGAAAAGCTGCGGGATTTATTGAGAAGTAATAAAATATTCATGATTTCAAAATATTTTTTGCATATCATAGAAAAAATTCGGAATATCAAATAGATGTTCATGAAATAAAAAAAACATGATTTTAAAATAATAATCCAGTAGTCTGGAATTAGAAAAAAATGTACATGGCGTGCCTCCTCCTCCTCGACGCGCTAATGGGCCGGCCCATGTGCGGCTGGTTGAGCCTGTTTTCTGTTTCGTTTTTTGCTTTTTACCTTTTTAATTCTGTTTTTGTTTTTCATTCTTTACAATCATTCAGGATTTTCAAAAGAACCAAATTTCAAAAAGCTGCGAGATTTATTGAGAAATCATAAATTGTTCATGATTTCAAAGAAAAATCGCATATCATAAAAAAAATCACAATATCAACTAGATGTTCATGAAAAAAACATGATTTTTTTTAAAAATCCAGTATTCAAAGTACATTCTGGAATTAGAAAAAAAATATACATGATTTTTTTGAAATGTTTCCAAAATTAAAACAGGCCCGTAAATGATGAACAAAACGAAACATCGCCTGCGTCGAAGTTTTATTAGAGGATCTGCAGAGGTCAATTTATGATTTTATTTAGTCCCTCGCATCGGGTAAAAAAAAGGTTTCCATGTTTCATACGACGCTGAAGCCAAAAAATATTGACACAATTTTCTATCG